GATAGATAGATAGATAGATAGATAGATAGATAGATAGATAGATGATGGATGATAGATAGATAGATGATGGATAGATGATGGATGGATGATAGATAGATGATGGATGGATGATAGATGGATAGATAGATAGATAGATAGATAGATAGATAGATAGATGACAGACAGACATGGATTGATAGATATAAATGGATAAATAGAAAGATATAGATGGATAGATATAAAGAGAGAAAGAGGGATGGATGGATGGGTAGGTAGGTAGGTAGATACTCAGGCCAGATGGAGAGGAGATATGGAGATATAGATATATAAATAGATAGATAGGTGGAAGGAAAGCAAGGGAAAAAGGTAAAAGGAAGGGAGGGAAGAGAAAGGATGGAAATGAAAGTGAAGCAGAAGAAAAAGAAAGGAAGAAAGAAAAAGAAAGATGCTCAGGCCAGATGGGTGGGAGATATAGACCGACAGACATACAGACATATATATGGCTCTTTGGTTATTTGGGTTTTCTCCCGTGTAAGTTTGGAACTATCTAGGCAACGTTGCCTAGATATGTCCAATCTTACGTGGGAGAAAACCCAAATAACCAAAGATCCACATACAAATACCCGCGAGAACCTCAGAAAACATATATGTGTGTGTGTGTGTTTTCTGAGGTTTTCATATATATATATGAAAATCTACAAAAACATACATACATACATACACACACACACTCACACACACATCGATGGATGGGAAGGAAGGAAGGAAGGAAGGAACTCAGTCTGGGAAAACAGTTTGGGATCCCATTCTCAGGAACAAAGATTTCTTTTCTTTGACTGTTCTTGTTTTGAGGCGTTGACGGGGTCAGCTGAGGGGCTCAAGCGATCTTTAAAGTTATTTTAATCCCTTAACCGGATGGCTTTTCCCTCACCACCCCCTTGGGCGGCCTTTGCTGCCTTGCTGGGTCTGCCCTGAATTTAGGCGCCGGGACCAGCAGCCCCCACCTACCGACGGCTCCCGTGCCCATAAAGGAGAATCTCTCCAGGCCGCCGGTGCTCCCTGAGCTGGGCTGGGTTTTTTTGCAGGCGTTTCATGACCCAACTAGGGAACATCTTCAGTGCTAGCAGGGAGTGAGGCTTCCTTTCCGTTTAGGTTCTGTTGGCTTATCCTGTCAGGGTTCATGAATGCCAATTTTCCTCCCATTTATCTTACGTACCCACTTTCCCCCCAAAATAAGACCCTGTCTTACCATTTTTTGCCACCAAGAAAGGCACCAGGTCTTATTTTCAAGCTATGTCCTCCACTGACTAACCTCACTTGCATGTGTCTAATATATCTCTCTCTATATATATTTGCCACCCCAAAAGGCACCAGGTCTTATTTTCGGAGGACGTATCATCCACTGACTAACCTCACTTGTGCGTGTCGCTCCCCACCCAGCCTCCTTCTGGCTGTCAGAGGCCTTCCGGAACGTCTTCTTCTGTGGCCAGCAAGGCTTTCCTGGAGGCCTCTGCAGCCGGTGACAGAGCTCTGGATCGATCCTGAGCTTGGCTCTCCGCTCCAGAGGCCGTCAGGAAAGCCTGGCCAGCTCCGGAAAACATGGTCTGGCAAGGCAGGTGTCCAGGGCCTGGCTACAACTGACCAAAGGGAAGGAGTAGGGTGGCTCCACCCCCCCCCATCTCCACCGGGGCTTCCTTTTTACCTGTCCATTCTGCAGTGGGCAGGATTTTAATTAGGGCTTATATTGGGTGCACATGTTAAAAAGTCAAGCTAGGACTTACTTTCAGGGTAGGTGGTATTGTGAGAGGAATAGGGTAGTAGTGGCCCTAGGCGCTAAGAGCAGCGGTGTCCACGTTGCCCTGGTCTTCAAGGGCCCGAGGTTGGACGGCCCCGCCAACGGAAGGTCCCACCCATAGGAGGCAGCTGGAGGGACCCATGCGCCCCCCCCACTCCTCCTCCTCCTCCTCATCGCCGTTTCCCCCGCAGGTCCACGTCCCACGCGGCCATCGACTGGGGCAAGATGGCCGAGCAGTGGCTGCAGGAGAAGGAGGCCGAGCGCCGGAAGCAGAAGCAGCGGCTGACCCCTCGCCCCTCGCCCAGCCCCATGATCGAGAGCACGCCCATGTCCGTGGCCGGCGACGCCACCCCGCTCCTGGACGAGATGGACCGGTAGTCGCCCCGCCAGGAGCAGCGCCGCGACGCCGGGGGCTCCGACCCCCCGCTCCTTCCTCTTGCTCAGCCACCTCACTCCGTCGTCTTTCCTTCGCCTCGCCCCCCTCCGCCTGGTGGGGGGGGTGGGGGTGGAAAAGAAAGTGCGCCGGGGACACCCCAGCAGCGCCCTCCGCAAAGCACCGGAGACTCAAAGAAGCCGCGGGATTGCCGTGGCTCTGGGACCCATTGAGGCCTTTGGCGGTGGCTGCGTCCCGCCAGGCCCGGTTTGGATGATTTGCCGTCCGGTCCCCACTTCGCCAGGACCGGTGACGCCCAAGCAGAACGGCCAGGCCAGGCGTGACAGGAGAAGGCCCGGCGTCAAACTCAAAAGAGACTGGACGTGCCTGTCCCTCTCCCCTCCCTCCCTCCGTCCCTCCCTCCCTCTTCCTTTCTCCCCCTCTCCTCTCCTCTTTCGCTCTCTCGCTCCTCTGTGCGCAAGTGGCTGTGTCGATGTTTCGGGGCGCTTTTCCGCCTGGGCCTCCGCCCTCAGCTGCTGTGGGGGGGGGGCTGGGGGCGGGGGGAGCGTCCCTCCTCGGGGGCTTCTGCAGGACGATATTTATTCAGTTGTGCCGGGGGGGGGGGGGGGGGCAAAGTTGGGAGGGAGGGGAAAGGAAAAACTCGCGAGCGGAAACCCCCGTCGATGATGGCCGCCTTTGGGAAGCAGGACGGGAGCCTCCGTGGTAGCGGCGGGAAGGCCAGACGGCGTCTCCTCCCTTCTCCCCTCCCCTCCCATGTCCCCTCCCCCATGTCCCCCTCCCTGACAGCAAAAGGAATAAATGGTGTTTCTACGGATTCCTCCTCCTCTTCCTCCTTCAGCTGTAAAGAGGAGGAGCTGAGATGCCAGGCTGGCAGGCTCGGCCTCCTCCAGTCCGCCGAGGGGCTCTTCGGGGGGGGGGGTGGGGGTGGGGGGGGGGGGCCGGGCCCCGGGGGGGGGGGGGGGGGGGGGGGGGGCTTGGGGGACGGGCAGAGGCCTCCCTTGGAAAGCTCTGGGGGGCTGCGGGGGGCTTCTCGGTCCCTCCTTGCAGTGGGCTCCAGTCCAAGGGGATCCCCTTCCCTCCTCCGATTGGCCCGAATCGGCCACCCGGTCTCCCCCTCGCACGGGGGGTGGGGGGGGGCAGGCTCAAGGCCCGCGGGGGGCCCAGATCTGGCCTGCAAGAAGGGAGAGGAGAGGAGAGGAGAAGAGGAAGAAGAAAGAAGAAGAAGAGGAGGAGGAGGAAGAAGAAGGAAGAGGGAGGGAAAGACAGAAGAGGAGGAGGAAGAAGGAAGAGAGGGAGGGAAAGACAAGAAGAAGAAGAAGTTGAGACAGGAGGAAGAAGGAAAGGATGAAGAAGGAAAGTGAGGAGAGGAGGAGGAAGAAGAAGAGAAGAAGAGAGGAGGAGGAGAAGAAGAAGAAGGGAAGGTGGGAGGAGAGGAAGGAAGGGAAAAGAAGGAAGGGGGGTGATAAGGAGAGGGGGGGGGTCTGGGGGAAGGCCTACCCCGGCCCTTGGCCCCCCCGGGGGGAAACCCCCCCCCCCCCAAGGGGGATTGGGCCGGCCACCCGCCACCCCCCCCCCCCCCCCCCAGCCACAGCCCCCAGCTCAAACCCCACCCTGGTGGAGCCCTCCACGAAATCGAGTTGGAGACCCCCCCTCCCGGGGGCATTTGGGCAGGAGGCAGGGAGGTGGGGCCGGCTGCTATGCACCATGCACTGGTCTGGACTGGGAGCTGGCGGCTGGGGCCACGTTCCTCGGGGGGGGCAAGGCAGACGTCGCAGGGGCCAAGCGGGTGGCACTGCAGGGAGGGGGGCAGGTTCTAATTTCTCCTTGCAGCGAAGGTGGGGAGTCGGGGACCCTTCCCTGCTGAGGGGGAAAGACCAGCTCCCCCCTCTCCCCCCCCAGTCTTTTTCCTCCCTGGACTGCAGGTCCTTTGGGGGGGGGGGTTTCAGTAGGGCTACTTCATCTCAACTCCAAAGATGATACTACTCTACTCATTTCACCTGCCGGGAAAAGGTGTGTGTGGGGGGGAAACAGTGCATTCCTTGAATGCTTTCGTGGCAGCCAAAGCTGTTGGCGCTCAAGAGGATTACCAGGGAGCGTGACGGATGCCTCTTGGCTATGGATGGGTCCCATTGGAGGCTATGCATCCGGGGGTGGGTGGGTGGGGGGAGACCAGGGTCAAGGGGGAAATGAAGGATGGGTCTCGGAGTCGGCTCCACCCACGAAACACCCACATCACTCCATGCTCTTTTCTCGGAGATGTGGCCAAGAGACTTGGGGTGGATTTGTCGGTGTCCCGGCAGCCAGCGGATACCAAAATGCTGCTGTTCCCCCCCCCCCCGAGTGAAGCCCCCACCCCCAACCCCTGGGGAGGAGCACAGCCGTGCCCACCCGCCCGACTTCCCAGGTCCCGGAGGGCAAGGGCTGGGGTGGGGTGGGGGCGCCTCCTGTGCCAGCGAGCTGGAGAGGCCGGGAGCGGGGAGGCCCGGTTGCTGTTTCCGGAGGGGGGGGACAAAGTCTCCCCCAGCTGGTGGGGAGCCAAGGGGCGGATTTCCTGGGGCTCAGACCCCCCCCCACCCCCCCCAAGTAGGTTGGGCCGAGGCCTGGCGCCCGGCCTTGGACCCAGAAGGCAGAAGGCGCAACACAAGATATTCCTGGCATCCCGCTTGCCTGTCCCAATTTCACAACTCTGGCCGGCCCTCCCCCCCCGCTCTTCCCCTCCCCCCCTCTTCCCCTCCCCCCAATTTGACTTCCCAGAATCTGAAGGCGGCTTTTGCATCCAGGACGCAACACATCAGCCCGGCTAGGCTAGCCGGAGCCAGCCGGGAACAACATCTGGGGAGATGGGTTGGGAAAAAGGGTCAAAGCAGAACCCCATTTGAGGGGAGGGGGGGCAGGGGGAAAGGGGGGGCCCTAAAAGATGGAGATGGGGGGGTGGGAGACCCCGGGGGTGAGTCCCTTTCTCTCCCCCCCTCCCCCCAAAAAAAGGTTTCTGGCAAGGCGGTGGGGTTAAAAGGGGCAGCTAGGTGGGGGCTGACCCCCTCAGGACCCCCCCAAGCAACTCCCGGGCCTTATTTTGGGGTCTGTCGGGAGCCAAGTAACGGGGGGGGTCCTGTGTCCCAACTGGCCCACTGACCTCTTTCAGGGGGGACGCCCCTTCCCCCCCCCCCCGCCCCAGGCCCAAAGGATTTTGGAAAACAGACGGGGTGGAGGGCACCAGTGCATAGTTAAATCCACTTTTATTCCTTCTCCATCCAGGCCAACCAAGCAGGTCTGGTCTTTTGCATCGGGCCTCCTGCTCAAACGGGGTTGGACTAGAAGACCTCCAAGGGTCCCTTCCCACTCTCTCGTCTAACAGAGATTCTCCCGGTCGTCCCAAAGGGGTTTTTTCCCACAAGGCAACTTTTGGACTTTCTTGGCCCGTTTTTTCCCCCTCCCCTTGACAACGTTTCGCTTCTCAGCCAAGAAGCTTCCTCGGTTCGCGAACGAGCTTCTTCCTGAACCGAGGAAGCTTCTTGGCTGAGAAGCGAAACGTTGTCAAGGGGAGGAAAAAAAGTCCAAAAGTTGCCTTGTGGGAAAAGCCCCTTTGGGACGGGAGTCTCTCTCCTTTCGGTCATCGCAGGGTCCTTCTGCCCAGCATTTTTGGGGGGAGGGGGGGCGCTTTGCTCCTCCTTTACGCTGCCCCCCCTCCCTCCTCCAAGTCTCTGCCAGGCATGGAGAGCTTCTGGCGTCGTGGCGAGCTTTCCTCCTCCTTCTGCAGCTTCCCCCTCCTCTTCCTCCTCCCCCTCTTCGTCTTCCTCACCCCGGATGGGCTGGTGGTGGGCTGGCCCTTTGGCGGGACCGTCTGCATGCTCTCAGGCAGACCACCAGCAGCAGCAGCAGCAGCATCCGGCTGGCTCCCCCCTCGGCCAGGCTCGTCGCTCAAGATGGCATTGAAAGAGTCCCCCTGCCCCGTGGGGGGGGCCTGGGCGCCCCCCTTCCCCAGTCCCCGCACAGCCAGCTGCTTGGGGGGGTGTCCCTCCCCAGTGGGGGGGTGCTGGGGGGCGAGCGGGGTTCGCACCCGGTCCCAGGGGCCTTTTTTCCTCCTCCGCTTCTTCGCCCCCTTCCCCTGCTGGCCTCGGCCTCCCTGCTTCCCTTTGCCCTTCCGAAGCCTGGGGGGCGAGGGGCTCCCCCTGGCCCGGCTGGGCTGCCAGGGGGGAGGGGGAAGAGGGGTCCCCCAGGGTCGGGAGGGGGTCTGGGGGGGCGGAGTGGTGGTGGTGGAAGAGGCCGGTTGGGGCCGGCGGGTGGCGGGGACGTCGATGCGCTCTCCTCCGTAGTCAAACATCACCGGCTCCTTCAGAACCGCCACGGCCGTCCGGCTGTAGTTCCTGCACCTAGGAAGGAAACAGCCAAGTAGCCGTGGGGTCCTTTGCAAAGGGAGGGGGGAGGATACGGGGGGGGGGGGCTTTAGGGGGGGGGGGTGGGGGTCCAACCTTGCAACTTTGAGGCTTGTGGCAACTTCCAACTCCCAGAATTCCCCAGCCAGCGGAGCTCCCGGGACTGTGGGATTCTGGGAGTCGAAGTCTTTCAGGTTGCCAAGATTGGCCGCCCAGAACAGGGAGTCCTTGACTTACAACCACCTGCTCAGTGACTCGAGTTGCAACCGCACCGAAGAAAAGTGACTTAGCCCTGTTTTTCACACTTAACAACCGCCGTGACTCTTGAATTGGTCTCACAGTTGTGACCATCGTTGCAATGTCCTGGGGGAGGGTGGGGGGTTTCCCAGGATCCGCTTCGGCGACCTTCCGACACCCAAAGGAAGCCAGATCCACTTCACGACCGTGTGACTCACTTCAAGACTGCAGCGACTCACTTAATGACCGTGGCAAGGACGGTCGTGAATGGGGCAAAACTCCCTTAACTTTCCGTAAGCGGTGGAAAATTTGGTTGTAAGTCGAGGATCGCCTGGAGCCTTCCACACCCCCTTTTAAACAGCGTAACCAAGTCAGAAGGGACCTTGGAGGTCATCCAGTCCAACCCCCCTGCTTCCAAGGCAGGAAACCCAATCGCATTTCAGACAAAATGTCCGTGCTGCTTGCTAGTGGTGGGGCCTTGGCTTCTGCAGAGGAGACCTGGGGTGGAGTGGGGGCCAAGGGGGGGGCAGGGGCGGGAGACCCCCCCACTCACCAGACATAGAGGTAAGATTCCACGCAGGCTTCCTGGTAGACCAGCTCAAAACACGGCACCTGGATGATGTTGAAGAAGGCCTGTCCCACCACGCGGGAAGCGGTGCTGTTCACGGCGCTCAGACAGTCTTTCAGCCTGGAAGAGACCCGGCAGGAGATGGGGGTGGGGGGGTACATTGGAGGTGGGTGGGGGGTCTCACCCTGGAACGGACTCTGCACCCAGCATGCACCGCGGTGCGATTCCCACGCTCCCGAGGCCTTCCGGTGAAAGCCTCCATTCAGACGACAGATTGGCAGGCGGGTTTCAGGGTGGGGGGGCCTGGGGGGGG